CGGGGCCAAGGGGCACGCCAAGCGGGAGGACGTGCGCGGCGGCCGAGCGGGCCCCTCCACTCCTGGCCGGGGCGGCGGTGGGCGAGGAGAGGAAAGTCTCCAAAAGATGCGGGGAAGGAGCCCTGCGCCTCTTGCAGAGGAGTTATAGTTCCCAGGCTGGAGAATCTCTCCCTTCCTTTCTCTCGTTTTCTCCCCCTCTCTCACCGCGCCGCAGTTTGCTCTCTTGGCTCTGAGTCTGGAGACCGTGCTAAAGTGGAGAGGAGTTTCTTGAATGCTGGTTGCTGAAGCTTCCAATGCAAGTTTCTCGCCGCCTCCCAGGCAGGTCCTTTTTTTTTTTTTTTTTTAATTTCCTTCCCCTGAAGCAGTTGATTCCAGTTCACGAGCGCTCTCAGGAGCTCAGGAAAGCAACATCGTCTCTATCACTTAGTCCCTTTCCTACAATGCAAAGCAAAAAACACTCTGGCTCCAGGACTCTCTGTGGGCGGAATCGGCACTAAGGAGTTTGTGCAGTTATTTTGTTGCAAGGTAGGAAGCCAAAAAGCCTTCATGCAACAGACTGGCATGAATAAATGTATGTTTCCCCCTCCCTTCTGCAAGAAGGGAGCTGGTAATGGCAGAGTTCCTCCAATGCAGACTCTTAAAAGAGCGTGCAAGAACTAGAGACCCGGGAGCGAAACAGGCCTCTTCCCCTCACACACAGTTTCTCTTGCTGCAGCTTAGAGCAGACCCCAATTCCGCCTCGCGCCTCTTTATCCTTTCACAGTCTTGGCCGCGGCCAATCAGCCGCTGTAACCAACGCTTCCTCGTGCCAAGCCCCTCCCCTGGGCTTCCCATTGGCTTAGAACCCGATGCAATAATAATCTCCGCGTGCAATGAGAAGCTCCAAATCTGACCTCATTCCAATTTACAGAGCAAACTTTTTAAAAGGGCTAGAAGTACAGCTGAGATTTCTGCTGCCTCTTTTTTTCCTCCTTTTGCTCTGTGTGTGCGCGCGTGCGTGTGTGGTGTGAAGAGGATGTTAATGCATGAAATTATTAAGGGGAGAGACGGAAATGTATTCTAACCATTATGTTAGATAACAAGGGGCTTGGAAGGGGGGGTAAGGGTGAAATACTGTAAATGGAAGCTTTCTGCTTAAAAGCCAAGTGATTATTTTTATTAGTTCTTTTCAGTATTGGAATAAAGAATCAGTCTCTAGTGCAAAATCTGTTCCCCAGCTCCTTCATAAAGCCAACGATGTGAAAGGGGGAGGGAAAGCTACAACAATAAATCAATGGATATTGAAAACCATTAAGAAAGTGCTACCTAGACACCTGTCATCACAATTATTTTAACAACTCTAGGTACAGCACAGATGTTGATGTATTGTGTAAATCCCTTCAGAGCAATTTTTGTGCTGTTTGTGGAAGATAGAAAAGAGGAATTTTTGCAATAATTACTTGCTCTCTTAACCAAACAGGGGTTGACTATGGTTATTTAATGATTTAAACTCCCCTATAAATCCTGGATAGCCCAAACAGAGGAGCTTTTCATTGGAACACATTAGGCAATGCTCCATAATTGACTCAATGGGAGAATTTCTATAGAGTTTTGTATGGGATGATAATAGTGAGTAAAGGTTGGGAATCAATTTTACTTTCTAAATATTTGTTTTTCACATTTTCAAAATTAAAAATTGCCTCATTCTGCTTCCTTCAACCCCTAAAACCTCCTCTTTTCCCTTATATATATTTTCTCCTGTATATTTCTCCTATATATTTGTTACTTGAATCAAATGGAACTGAAAGGCCAAGGCAAAGAGAAACTGTAGAGGGAGGTGGTAACTGATAGAAGAGAAGAGAGCCTCTGGATTTATATTAGACCTCGCTGTTCATCCTTCTTACGGTTTTGTAACCCTGGGGATGTGACCGAGTCTCAGTTTTCCTCATCTGTGATAAGGGAATACTAGGAGCTACTTTATATAGGATTGGGGGTTCAGAGAGTTGGATGTATGGTAAGCCCTCAGTGAATGCTATTATTCTTCCCTGGATAATTCAAATACCATATACACTCCTTCTAGTAGAAGCAGCCTATTGTTCAAGAGACTATTGTTAAAGATGGTGACTAAAGAGAAAAAATAATCACAGATCGTGGATGTGAACCCCGTCCATAGACAATTGTGGCAATCTTGTCCTCCCAATGATTTTTTTAAAAAAAGAACTTTGTGAAGAGCACTATGAAGAGTGTGGCAAAGAAAAGGTGCCTTGGTAGTTAGAACACGTTAATATGACCACAAAAATTACTGTTGTTCCAAGGTTATGGAAATTAGAATTCTAGTAAAAATTAGTCTTCCCTAACACCATAATAGTAAACTGTTTTTCTACAGGCCAATAATAGGTATTTAGGTAGGGCCAACCCAGCACAATTAAGACAGCTTTTGATTCAGATCAAACTAGTGCTAGGCAGCAGATTTCAATTTAATCTTGTCAGACTTTTAAAGTATGTAGGCTGGCGAGAGGCCCAGGTTGTCAGATTTAGAATTTTACTGGAAAGAACAGCCTATGGAGACATCTGAGTTGATCTCTAAGGATCTACCATAAGCAAGAATGATTTTGTGGGTAAAAGCAAAAAAATTTTTAATGTTAGCTACCCAAGTTAAATGCTTTTTCTTTTAGATGGGGCAAAAAATGTTGAAAACAAACAAAAACTCACAGGCACCTTTTTTGCATATAAAAAGTTGGCTGTGTTATCATGCATTTATTTATTTAATTTTTTGGTATGCACACCAAAACACACCCCTAAATGTTATCAATCTGACATAAAAACCAAGAGGTCTGTTTTTTAAATAAAATTGTCACTGGAATAAAAAAAGGATAAATACTATATTTTGGAATTTGTACCAAAAATGATTTGAGAGTATAGCTATTTTGTGACAATTCAGTCAAGGTGAATATTAATATAATTGATTATATTTCTAAAGCCATTTATGCTTCTACCACTGAATATGATAGAGGAAAAGTGGAAGTTAATCAAAGCAGTCAAAGTAATTTTGTTTATGTTCGAAGCACACAAATTTTAAAAAGTGTACCAGAAAAAGTCGCTGGTGTATTTATATCGTTAAATGTATTTATTGTAACAAATCCAATAAATTTTAATAAACACCATTGTTATATGCCACTAAGGAAGAAAAACTGCAAATGAGTCTGTGACATCCTCCAGTTGTAAGACTTATCCCTAATTCAGAGATTTGAAAATGAAAAGTTTTTAGAATCGAAGAAATATGGTATTAGTAATTTCCATTGATTTTAAAGTATTATTATAGTGTATATAAATGCTTAGACTTCTGAAGTAGATTTGTTCTTAGGTGTTATTAGTTCCCTTAAAATGTAAGAAAACATTTGACAAATGGCCTTTTATTCATGTCATCTCTCTCACCAACTGAGTAAGTATGTGCACACTGGAATGTGTTAGGCCTCTAGGCTTCTGAATACGAAATAATGAGAAAAGATTTCTGTGTTCTCATTACCTAACTTCATATGCTTTGTAACCAGTTCTTCATTACTGACATTTTTTCCCAAAATACCAGATATTTGGTGGCCCCTACTAAATCAGTACTCAGTGTTCCCTCTGCTGGCTTTGCAGTACATGAAGTAATCCTTAATGCTACTCTTTAAACTAAGATAATTTTGCAAAAAAAAAAAAACAAAAAAACAACAACCAACAAAACTTATTTTAGAATAATAGACTAATTGTCTATATTAATAATGAATTAAAATTAGCAATTTTTGAATTAAAGTAAATATTTTATTTCCCATTAAATAATGTAATTCTATTTGATGTAATGTGTTATGTGCTAATTCATTTCTTCTGCTCTCACACACCTGCACAACATAAAATCTCACATCCATAAAATAGTATGGGGTATAGATGGAAATAAGATTCTATCTCACTGCTTAATATATTTCTATAGTATAAGTGGGGGAGGGAACTTGAAGGGAAATTAGTTTAACAAATCTGGATTTGTACTGATTTGCAAGATTTTGCCTTGTCTGGGTTATAGAAACTATGATGGTAGGAGTTGGGCTGATCTGACGAGTATTCAATTCAAATAAAAATAAAGATGGAAAAAAACCCTCTCACTGTTACTTTCACAGACAGGGAAGAAGCCCTGGGAAATCTGATGTCTTTGGCTTTTGTCAACTGGTTCCACACTTCATGAAAAAGAACCCTCCATCCAAGGCTAACTTACTTCTCAATCAAGTAGACAAACTTATACTTCATCCTTTTGGGCTGATGAAGTTGTATTGGAAGTGGACTTCCCTTTGGGGAGTTGCATTGAAAAATAATAATCAAAATAATATGGAAGTAATTCTTATTTGCAAAATATCAAAATAGGATTCTGGAGGAAAATGAAACCCACGATATATTTTTAATCTCAGAATGAAGGGATAAGAATCTCGCATTTCTAATAAGTTTTACCTTTTTCTCTCCACCTCCTAACTGGCAACTGGCACCTGATAGGCTAAAGCAAGCACTTAATACCAATGCCAGCTAATTTTCCTTTCCTCTCGATTTTCTGATGAGAACAAGCAGAAAATGAGTGTCGATTTTCTGATGAGAACAAGCAGAAAATGAGTGTTTGTCTGGGCCTTGTAGATTCAAAGCATGAATAGGAACCTCTGTTCCATTTCGCAAAGCCAAGGCCAGGCACACCCACGTGGAGCCTAGGTTTGCTCTGCAGCCAGCCTACTCCCAACCTGGGGAGGAGCCGCCGCCAGGTGGCAGCGCTGAGCCTCCCTGCGTCCGCAAGGAGACGTGGGAAAACGTGGGGATCGTCCGACTTCTTTCTTTTCCCCTTTGCCCCGCTACTGAACCCCTATCGTCTTCCACTAGTCTACCTTCTTTAGAAAGCATTTTAAACGATCAGCGGTAAATAAGGTGTATCGGTGAATTCTGATTATTTTTCCCCCCATAAATCAAAGATTAGGGCTGCCGACGCCGCCTCCTGTTCATTTGTCAGAAGCTCCCCGAGACTGGGGAAGCCAGGCCAGCTCCCGTTTGGATCTAGTAACTGAACCCGGGAGATTGTCAATTACCGCGTCAGTATTTTGCCGAAACCGGAGTTAGAACGCGGTTTCTCTGCCAGCAGCTCTCCGTTTCTGAGAGCGGTGCAGTAAAGCGGCGCGCGTTACTGCAGGACCAGCAAAGGCCACCCCTCTTCCTGAAAACATGGTTCCTTGGACCAGGACGCCTGGCCGAGCTCAGCGACGCAGTGGCGCAGGTCCCGCTCCTCCTGCCCGGAGCTCGGAGCAAATTCAGCGGGATTAACAGTGCTCAGCCTCCGGGACCGAGCCTCGCTTTTCGATTCCAGTTACAGGGAGGAAATAAATTGGAATCGACTCAAGCTGTGCTTTTTGGAGGAAAGTCTTTCCTACTGTAAACATGTTTCAGGCGATCCTGTCAGCAACACTTTAACATCCGTCTTCCTTTTAGGCTTTATAACCCGGGAAGGAGCTGAAGACTCACGGACACGCGCACACACATTCAGGCCAAGTGAAGACACCCTCGCGAGCTCCTAGTCCCCCTTTAAAGTTGCAACCGACCCGGGCTGGCTGGGGGTCATTTCTCGGAGCTGAGTTCTTCCATCTCCCCACCCCCGGAGCCAGCTTGGCCCGGGGCGATGGTGCCCAGTTCTGTCGCTAACCAGAACTGCCAGCCACTAGTTCCCCTTCTCTGTTGGTGCCCACAGCTTGTGCTCTGGACACCTAAATGCGCTCTGAGAACTGTGCATCTGGGCCCCACGCTCCGGCTAGCATCCGACATTCGAACCCTGGCTGGGCACCCTCCCGGCTAGCCGCAGGCTGAGGCCTCACTGAGTGTGCAGCTGCCTGGGCTCTTTCAGGAGGGCAGAGCGGGGCGTGTGAGCGCAGAGGGCGGGGGCAGGAAAAAGCCACAGAGAGAAGGGACGTTGACAATTGGTTGCACCCGAATCCTCATGCTTCCCCTCCCCGAGGACTGGGAGGAGGAAGAGTGCTGGGTGCCCACCCTCGCCTTTCGCTAGTGCGGGAAAGGCGGGGTGGGGCGGGCGTCCTGGGGTCCGCGAGGGCAGCAGAGGCGCCCTAGGGTGCCAGGCGAACTTGCCAAGGGGCGTACCCGACGTCCCAGTGATTCCACCCTGGTTTCAGGTCTGAGAGGCCGTAGCTTACGGCAGGTGAATAACTGTTAGAGGCTGCGCCCCGAGGCATGTGGTTCCTTAGAAGCAAAGCTTTGTGGAGGGGCTCGGCTCGCTGTGTTCCGGTGCATTCACCTGTCTCTGCCTTTCTATAAGTGTCCGGATGGGGCTGCCTACACCAACTCGGGGCTCCCGAAGCCGTCCCAGTGACCCCAGCACGCGGTGTGGATGCGAGCACACACTACAGAATCCCCACCCCCAACCCAACAACTGAATAGAAGCAATTACAGTTGGAGCCCCGTGAGGAAAGCGGCTGATTTCACTTAGGGAAAAGCCCTTAAACAAGAGCAAACCTAAGTCCACGTTAGCAAACCAGTTGACCTACAATTGGAGGGTGTGCGAGGGCGGGCAGGGGCGGTGCGTCTGCGGGGAGGAAAACCCGCTGGGGAGTAGGCAGAGGAAGCAAAAGCAAGATGCCAGATCAGTGAAAGAGAGGATGAGAGGAGAGGAAGAAAGGCGTTTGATTGCAGAGAGGGAGGTGGGAAGGCGCGGAGACGGCACCGGCTGCCAGGTGACACGGGGCAGGGAGGAGAGGCGGGTGCGTGGGGGTGGGAGCACCGGATCTCTCAGTTCCTAGCCCTCCCCTCTCGGCGTCGTGCCGCGGTCCTACATCACGCGTGGCGCAGATGGTGGCGGGCAGCTCGTGGGGAGGGGAGGGGAGGGCTTGGGCGAGGCAGGGACCAAAGACCTCAGCGCCCCGGACCGTGCTGGGCGTGCAGCACACCTGGCATCCGGGACTCACCATCTGCTCCGAGCTCACTGCCGCTCCGGCCAGGGGTGTGGGCTTGGAAAGAGATAAGGATACTGCCTGGGGAGTGGATGGCTTCGCGTCAACCGCCGCAATGAACTCAGTCAATCAACGTTTATGGTGCTCCTACTGTGTGCCGTGTGCAGCCTCGGTCCCCTCCAGCTGCTGGGCTCAGGAACTGCGCCATCTGTTCGGTTACACCCTCAAGCTAGAAAAGAATCCTGTGTATATTGTTGTATAATAAATTCACAATTCAAACAGAATTCTATAAGCAAATTCGCCATGCGAAGGAGGGTAGTTGAAGCAGTTTAGGGTTCTGGAAAAGTGTTGGGTCTAGCAGAATAAAGTATGAACTTTTGGTGATTTTTCACTGCTTTGTGAAGCATAAATGACCCCCTCGCCTTCCTGCTCCACATTCTCACAACACAGAGATCAAAATTAACAATAATAATTAAACAATGTAGTAACATTTCATCTGGGATATAAGGGTTTAGAAATAACCGAAGTCTGTTATTAAACACTCAAACTTAAATCATTAATTTCTCAAATACCAGACCCAAAACACTGCCTTGTTGTAACAAGTGTTTTTGTAATGTAATATTACCATCTCGAAAGAAAATTCATATATCATCTAACCTAATACACACCTAACATATTTTTTTTAAAAAAAAATCAACATAATGCTCAAACTACAATATACAGGAGAAATACAAGATACAAAATTTATAATAAAACTATATAATTTGATATGTGCATGCTTAGGCTATATTTCAGTAGAACACACAAAATATTATCTAAAATGTCTAAAATTCTCCCTAAGGAGTACAACTGCCCAGATGTGAATTATGCACTAGGCGTGCCAGGCAAGTACTAAGTAATGGGAATGCTATTGATATTCTAAATTCTTAAATTCACAGTGGATGTGATAGATTCTTAGGGTAAATCAGCCTCCTGATATTGTCGCCTTTATGTGGACTTGCCTCCATTGACTCTGGATTTGGTCAATGACTTACTTTGGCCAATGGCATGTTAGAAAGCATGACCCAAGCAGAGGCTTGATCTAAGTGCCACACATTGGGGTTTGTTCACCTGAAACCTTGAGAGAAAAGTGTTGGGAAGAAGCTAGTCTAACAGTGGATGATGAAAGGGACTATGGGGAAAGTGGAGGTGTCCTGCCAAGGCTAGGGTCTCAAGCATGTGACTGAGGCTATCTTGGACTACAGTAGGAGTGTCAGATGGCTGCAGCCACATGATTGATCTCAGACGAATCCAGCAGAAGGATCACTCAGACGGACAACACAGAATTATGAGAACAATACATTGTTGTTTAAAATCACTGTTTTGGGTGGTTTGTTAGGCAGTAAGAGAGGACAAAGTATTAATTACAATACCATATGATAAATGACAAAATACAAACCTACCCAAGAAGATTATGTTTTCATAATAACTCAAGATGTTCATTATGAGTTCAGTCAATATATTCTCAGTGCCCGTGGTGGATATAGGGGTTAGCTAGACTTCAGTAACCCCAGACATCTTATCTACTCTAGTTGCGAGTTGTGTTTCTTTTCCATTTCCCATATTTCCCTGAAATTCTTTCATCCCTCAGGCGGCCTGGGGCTTACCAGCACTGTTGTATTTCATCTCTGTCACTCCTTCTATTGCCTGTGGCCTTTCTTGGCTGGCTCTTTTCTCTCCACTTTTTTCTTTTTCTTTCTTCCTGGTCTCATTTCTCCATTTTCTACTATTGCTTCAACATTTATTTACTTTGGTCAGTAAATAGACCAAAAATATTAAGCCTTCAATAATTCTTTTTACCTCTAATAAAAATTTTATTTTTTATCATTATTTTTTAATTAATTAATTTATTTTTTATGGTGACATTGGTTAACAAAATCTGATAAGTTTCAGTTGTACATTTGAACAGTAGGGCATATATATATATTTACATTGTGTGTTCACCTCCCATAGTTAGATTTCTTTCTGTCACCGCATATTTGACCCCTTTTACCCCATCTACCTCCCCTCTCCCCCTCCCCTACCCTCTGCCATTTATTTTTCAAGATATCAGGCATTATTGAAGGTCTTTAAAAATGTTGCGAAAGTTTAACCATATTATTTCTTTTGTATCATCAATGGATTCTTTCTAAATGCACATAACAGTGGTTGGTCTCTTGTTAGCTCCAAAGTCGTTTCTATTGCATCACGCTTT